AAAGATAACATAATATCTTTGAGTTTGACATCAATGTCCGTCATCTGCCTCCGGCACCACCATAGAAGTCACCAAAGGAAAAAATAACGGATCCCCTTCTCACCTGAGTTTCACGCGGCTCCATCGCTGATATGCAGTTTTATGGACCTCCAAGGTGCCTCACCAAAAATGAAGTCATCGTCGTTGAACGAATAAGACCGGAACAACGCTCCGGACGCGTCATCGAACTCCAGATCTGACACTCCACCACGAATGTGATGTCAAAGGAGGAAACCATATCTGCCATCCATCAAACACGAACCCAGCACACGTTTCGTCTTTCAGATGTTGTCGATGCAGATAACTCCTGGACTATCTACCAAGCTCCGCGTCGGCGTTGGAGCAAACGTCGTCGCAACGGCGGAGCCCGAGGACACAGGTCCACCACAAGGATGACGCAGCTGCCACCATCCTCACTTGAAGACTGATTTTCAAATCTATCCCCATCCATAGGACCGATTGTCTCGTTGGGGACAGATATAAAGTTTGTTTATTCAGAGCCGCCATCGCTGTCGCCGAAACAAAGACGATGAGCAACCGAAAAACCTAAGCTATTAAGGCATAATCTAAAGCTACACGATCCAGACGAGTAGCTCCGGCTACTCCCCTCACCACCGACGACCGAGGTCGCCGACGCAGGGAAGCCGCCGGAACAACGAAGCGGAGGGACCCTCCTGGCCGCGGCTTAGGGTTTCTAGTCGCCTACCCAAGAGAACAGAACAGAACGATAGCTGCTCCAAGAAGAGACTCAAAGTACTACCTGGCTCGCTGCTGACCACCAAGTTTGGCAAGATTGTTCATTTTCACTTTTCACTGAAGATACGGGTCGCAACTCGGCTGAGTAGGCCTTTATCTCAAGAAAGTGCATGTGTTGAATCCTTCGGATACATAAAAAAAGGCGGTTATGTGGCTTGCGGTTTTACACTAGATACTAGTACTCCCTTCATAAACTAATATAAAAATATTTAGAATATTAAAGTAGTGATCTAAACGTTTTTATATTAATTTAAAGAGAAAGTATTGAACATGACGTGGTCCTTGCGGTTCTAGACTAGATACGGTTAAGGGCTGTGATGTTTACGCTATTAGATTACGCGGCAGTGCACAAATCCATCTCCCTGCTGTAACTATGGACCTCTGAATCAGGTGCCAGAAACAAGCATGGATATGCCTTGCCACATTTAAATTCAGGTTCAGGTGTCCATGCTTTGTATGTCTTGTAACTGCACAGTTTCCTAATTCTCCAGTTGTGGACACAAGTTCTCCTAGTATGGTCCCCGGAATTTCATCTACCAAGGCGCTACCGTATGATCTGATCGGCAAGGGCTGGCAGTAGTGTATATATGTGGCAACAAGCATGGATTCTGCCAAGGTGACAAGGTAAAGCGATTTCAGTGCTTCGACTCTGTTTTACATGCTCCTAAACAAATTCCATCTATGGTTCTACTGTTTCCATGTGTGGCAGCAAATACAGAGTCTCATTTTTTTTTCCAAGCAACTGATTAGTGTGACATATTACTTGCATGTTCTGTTTCAGTTTACCCCATTTGACAATCAACAGTGTGAATTAGAGCTTCTTTGTTAAGAAGGGCATGACAGTCTTTTGTACATTTATGGAAACTCATATTGTATGGCATCGTATGTACGTACATTCTGTATACCCATTCAATCTTCTATTTATAGTACATTTTTTATTAATAACCAGTACATTATTTCTTTATTCCTTATTTTTTTGGTAAAAGCAAGTTTAAGAATTGAGAAGGAAATGTTGTTATTCAAAAAAATGTCTGAAAAATGATCGTTGTGAATTTTGAATTGGTTGCCGTGTATTTGAAAAATATCCATCAAGTGTTCAAAAATTTAATCATGTATTCAAAATTTGTGCACCGTGTATTTGAAAAGGTTTTGTCACATATTTTTAAAAATGTTCGACATATAATTTAAGTAATATCCATATGTACAAAAAGTGAAAAATAAAATAAAATGAGAAGAACAATTAAAAAACCTGAAATAAAAAAAAACGAGCACAAAACATAAGTACCTTGCCTAATGAAAGTAATACAAAGAAACCAAACCGTCAAAAATCAGCCTGGATACCCAGAAAATGGGCCTACTCACATGATGCACGCTTGGGCGTATGGCACTTCCCATCGTTATGAGCATCAACTAACTTTTCTTTTACCCGCAAAAAAACTAAGTTTTCTTTTATCCAAAAATATAAAATAAGTTTGTTTGTGCTATGCGTCACTTAGCAATAGCCTAGAATTGCCCGTGTTGCACTCATTGTGGCTCATTAAGATAAATGCATTTTTCTGGAATTTTGTTAAACTAGACAATAACTAAGAGCCTATTTGGGACTGCCCCACCATCAAAATCAACTTCCCTCCAACAAAACCACTTTGGAGTAATTCCTCCCAGGAGTTCCAACTCCACCAAAGAGCATTTTATCTTGTTTGGTCTTCCTGTTAGCTCCAATTTAAGAATGGAAAATTTTGATGGGAAAAGTCTATTTAATTGGGTGACATGGGAAGAAACAAAGGGATATCCACTGATAATTCTCTCTCAACACCATGAGGACTCTATGAACTAGAGTTCTTTTCGAACCCCTGAAGAGCTTCACAAAAAATAGGCAGTTGTACCCCACATTTCAGTTTTTTTTTGCGTAGTGGAACATCGTGAAGCCGCCCTTTTTGGGTCTGTTTTTTAAAACGAAACTGAATTTTACGAAGCGGAGCAATCTCAAACAGGTTCTAACTAGGGATGCCCCTCGGTGGACTTATCAGAGGATGGGGTGCTTGGATGGTGTGCCGCGTGGTGGCTTGGCATGGAGCGCACAAAGTGAGGCAAGTGAAGTGCTTCAATGTTTTTTTTTTTGTTTTCTGGTTTCTTACTGCATGTTTTTTCTCATGTACTTTAATACGTCAAGTATAATGCATGGGTTGTGCTACCTGTGGACGACATGTGCTTCGTGTGGGAATCATGGATGTGTGAGTTGTAAAGGTATGCTGCATGGTGAAGTTGTACTTCACACTCCAATGGGTTTGTTGCACGCTTCGCACCAAAGCACATGTGTGTTTTGGCGACGTAACACACTTTTGTCGGAGTTTCAAGTACACCTATAATATTGCCGGGAGCAAAAGTTTATTATTTTTCGGAGTACATATTGCGTTTGAAAAAAATATCATTGAAACCATCAAGACAGGTCTCTTTATAGAAAAAAAATTCAAAATGGGGTCTAGTTTCAAAAAGCTCAACGAAAGTAATACAACCGTGAAAAAGGTTTGTAATTTGAGCGCTCGATTCACGAAACAAAGCGACACAACATCTTCCCATCTTCTTTGTGGCATGAAAGAACACCAAAACTCTCTGGTGGCGACAAGGGGCGCTTGCCACCAGGGTGGTTTGACAGTAACCTTTGAGAGAGTATCATTTATCCCCTTAACTAGTGATTTTGGTTAAAATAATATATTAGAATTAATTTAATAAATAAATATCCATGTACTTCTAAAAAAATTCATTTTTAAGTTGTGTTCACAAATTTTCAAAAATAATTCATGTAATTTTTTTGTGTACTTTAAAAAATGTTCATGCATTCCAAAATATATTCATGCAACTAAAAAGATCTATCTTAATAATATGATGACAGCTTTCAAAAAATATTCATGTAACTTTTAAAAGTGTTAACATATTTATTGAAATGTTCGTATAACTAAAAAAAGTATTTACCTTTTTAAAAATGTCATTTACTTTTACAAAGTGTTCATGTGTTTAAATTATTTATTTATTTTTTAACATTTATATTTATTATAAAAAGGAAAATGATAATAATCATCATAACAATAAATAGAAAAATGAAAAATAAACATAAAAAAGAGAAGGCAATGCAAATGGGTGTCGGCCATGTAGGGCATAGGTGGGTGATTTGGCAATGTACATGGTAATTCTCTAGAATGAATTTACCCAATTCAAAATTCTGAAGTGGGGCGTACCGAAGCAAGACCTATTTCTGTTTCCTTAAGTGAGGGTCTACTTCGTTCTCACATTGGCATCCTTTTGGCGTTGGTTATCCTGAAACTCAAAAGTGCACGTCCCTGATCCCTCAGATTATCCTGAAACTCAAAGTCCAAGGCTCCGAAGTGCATATAATAGAAGCTGTTATAAAATGTGGATTCCTGAGATACTAGTACTGAACATGACATGGTCCTTGCTGTTTATGCTAACGATGGACCTCTGAATCAAGCGCCACAAATTAGCCAGTCCTGCCACATTTACATTCAGGTTCAGGTTTCCATGCTTGGTAATATGTCTTGTAACTGTACAGTTTCCTAATTCTCAAGTTCCCTCCATGGACACAAGGGGGCTGCAACTATTAATAGCACCGGAGTATGGTCCCTTCCCTTGGACGAAATGTACCCGGTGGACGACGGTGGAAATTTCATCTATGAAACTACTGCATAGATGGATTCAGTGAAGGTGACAATGCAATGTGATTTCAGAACTGCAACTCTGTTTTGCATGCAGGTGGCATTTGGTTTCCTAACAAATTTGTACTTCAGAGTTTTAACAGTGCTCATGCTACACCAGATAGAGATGCAGCAGCAAATGCAGCGTTGCATATTTTGATTTGGACGACGAAACCATGCAATTCCCAAGTAGGAGTAATTAGCAGAATATGCTGCCAGGAGAAACTTGATTCAACCATAGTGCACAGATGACAGAAATATAGAAAGCAAGAGCATTACTTGACTTCATCATCCATTCAAGCTAGTAGACCTCAAATACCTGATTAATTTCATCATTCATGCAAGAGCAAATTGGACAGTACTACGAGAGAAACTGATACAAGAGCATAGGGTTCTAGATTCCAGAAGCAACATTTAACTGAAACTAAGACTCGAACCGAACTTTGAATTCCCAGTTAATCCAGCTATCGCATGTCACCTAGTTATGTTTCCAACGCTTCAGTGGGGGCGCAGCTTCTCCTTGGGCCTGATGTCATTGCTGTGGCCGCACTTCTTCTTGCGGCAGTTGGCAGACCTGAGGGGCAGGCGTGCATAGCACCTGTAATGCAAAATCATGGACAAGTTAGGATATAATCTTGTGAACGACTAGTACTTATTGTGATAAGGCAAATAGAGTAAGGCACCAACTAATACTAATACTTGTTGAAAGTATGCTAATAGGCTACTAGTTCCCTGGATCCAAACCACACTGAGATATGATCTACATACGCATCCATGCATCCCCATCGAACGGCTCACAAAAGAAACATGGCATTTCACAAACTTCTATCATGCATAGACATCCAGATACAAATATCAAACATGTACACAATTGCATACTGATGAATCGTGAAAGAAATAGTCCATCTACACCTCAACAACAGTATGCATCCATCCCCATTGAACAGACCACAATATCAAACATGGCATTTCACAAGCTTTAATAGACATCCAGATACAAACATGCATGTAAACAACAACAGTATATTGATGTATATATAGTGAAAGAAATCGTCCAAGTAGTACTTGATTAAAAGTATGCTAACTAATAAGCTAGTTCCCTGGGTCCAAACCACAGAGATATGATCTACATATGCATCCATCCCCATCGAACAGGCCACAAAAGAAACACCGCATTTCACAAAGTTCTATCATGCATAGACATCCAGATACAAACATGTAAACAACTGCATATCTATGAATCGTGAAAGAAATGGTCCATCGATCTAGTACTTGATGAGAGTATGCTAATGAGCTAGTAGTTCCCTGGATCCAAACCACATGGAGATATGATCTACATATGCATCCATCCCCATCAAACAGAGTACAAGAGAAACATCACAGTTCACAAGCTTTTAACATGCATAGACACATCCACATAAATACAAACAGAGCATGCATGCAACAGAAGCATATATCGATCTGTACTTGATAAGAGGTATGACAATAAGCTAGTTTAACCTCCTTTATTTAAAAAAGAAGAAGACAATAAGCTAGTTCATGGATCCAAATTGACCACACAGACATACGGTGATCCCCCCATTGAACAGACCACAATGGAAACATCTCAATTCACAAGCTTGTATCATTCATAGTGATCCAGACATGCATGTAACAGCGGCAAATCCATGTATAGTGAAAGAAATTGTCCAAGGAATAGAACATACTTGCGGCACACAAGCCTGTGCTGCCTGTACTTGAGCGCGAGCATGCGCAGGTTAGGCTCCATCCTGGTGGGGTAGAACCCGCCCTTGCCACCGCCGACGAGGCGCAGCGCGAGGTGGATCGTGGACTCCTTGTGGATGCTGTAGTCGGTCAGGGTGCGGCCATCGTCGAGCTGCTTCCCCGCGAAGATGAGGCGCTGCTGGTCCGGCTGGATACCTGCGATTATATTGAAGCCAACACAGCGTCCGCAGTTAGTTTAGCACCACAAACTGTAAAATCGAGCAAGAAACAGAGGATCCGCTCAGATCCGGGCAGATGGCGTAGAAAAGGTGGCTAATTTGTCCTACCGCGAGGTCAATTGCAAGGCAATCCAACATCAGATTACGGAACCCGCCGGACAAGCTAGCGGAGAAGCCATGATATTTTATTTTCTAACCCAAGAAAAGGTAGTCACGGAGGTCGATCTGCTCTGAACCGGGGCAAGACCATCGATCGAACAAAGGAGCAACACAACCGACGGCGGCGAAGGCGACCGGAGGCCGTCATGTGCGAAAGGCGGAGGGCGCGCGCGTACCTTCCTTGTCGTGGATCTTGGCCTTGACGCTGTCGACGGCCGCGCAGCTCTCGACCTCGAGCGTCACGGTCTCCCCGGTCGGCGTCTTCACGAAGATCTGCATCATCTATGGAAGCCCTAGCGAGCGAGTGAGGCCCCGTCGTGGTGGTGGTGGAAGTGGAGTGGCGCCGCGGACGCAGGGCTCTTTTATAGAGCGGAGTGGAGGAGGAGACGACGCAGCCGCTACGTAATCTATGGAAGCCCTAGCGAGCGAGTGAGGCCCCGTCGCCGCGAAGCCCGGGGCTCGGTCGGAGGAACAGGGCTGCGCGGCCACTCTCTACAGTTTTGGCCCATTAAAGGCCCAAACCAAATGTCTGATTCATCTGGGAAAAGATCTGCCCCAAATGTCTGATTCATCTGGGAAAAATTCTGAAAAATATGATCTCACAATGTCTTGAAAGCAAACTCGTCCAACTCTTGTGGAAATTATTTTGCATTTATGAATTCCAAACATGGCTCCTATATTCGCAGCATCCGTTTGAGCATTTCTTGGCCGATTAATATCCGGTAACACCAACTCAAAAATAAATAAATTGGTGACTAGTATGAACAGTCAAACCTTGCGAAGTGTCAATCTGAACCTCTCGACACAATATAAGTATATTACTGGTGCTATTTATCATATTAAAATGTGTTTGCGACACTATCTAAGATTTAAGTATTTTTGTCACAATTTACCAGATTTAATAACAAATTCCCCCTTTTTAAATGATAAGTAGTTTATTTTTTGAGCAAAAGAGAGGCCATCCTCTCCTATTTTAATTACCGGAACCATAGGTTTTCTAAAGTACAACTCACACCACACACACTCTAAGCTAGACGAAAGCGAAATATATCACTAGGTTCCATTACACACCAGGGCTCAACAGCTAGACTACAAATTCAAACGGGAGATAGAAATAGCAAACTGCTTTGTTCTCAGGGTCAAGAACTTTGCCTATGGATCCTTTATTTGTAAAACAGACCAATCATTGATCTAATTACACATCAGTTTCACAAACATCATAGGATCACATAATTTCTATATGTCAAAGATTATAGCGTTTCTACATTTCCAGACGCAATCCAGGCCCAAACTCGACACTAGTAGAAAACATGACTTTGGTCCAGGCCTGGCTAGCCCATTAGTCCCGGTTCAGTCACGAACCGGGACCCATGAAGGCATACATCCCGGTTCGTGAGCTGAGGGGCCGGCCGGGCCTCGTGGGGCATTGGTCTCGGTTCATCTGTCCCCTTTGGTCCCGGCTCAGTCACGAACCGGGACCCATGGGGGCATACGTCCCGGTTCGTGAGCCCAGGGGGCCGGCCGGGCCTCGTGGGGCATGGGTCCCGGTTCATCTGTCCCCTTTGGTCCCGGTTCCAGACATGAACTGGGACCAATGGGCCTCGCTCCTAGCCCACATCCATTGGTCCCGGTTCGTGGCTGGAACCGGGAGCAAAGGGGGGCCTTTAGTCTTGGTTCCCCCCTTTAGTCTCGGTTTCAACCACGAATCAGGACCAATGAGGTGCCTATATATACCCCCTCGCCCGCGAGTAAAGCACTCCATTGCTCTGTTTTTTTCTGGCCGGCCAGGGGAGGGCTTTCTGGTGCTCTAGCTCACCTCCTATGCACATGAGGTGTTCGATGAAATGCCCGAGCCACACTACTTAAGCTTTCTCCTCTCCAAACTCGACCTCCAAGCTCCATTTTCCTCAAGATTTGTCTAGGTTTAACGGTCCATCACGTCCCGTCCCCGTCTTCACCGCCGTCGATCGCCCGCGCCGATCTCGTCGCCGGCACCACCGTGGTGAGCCTCTTGTTCTATCTTCTTTCTAAAAGAAAAAAATTATTACCTGTATGATTTAGATCAACTGTTACCTTGGTTGCGGTTATGATTGCATTTTCTTACTTTTATTATTGTTTGTTATTATATAGTACGATGGTTTTGGTATTCGCCTCCGTCGGTCCTCGTCCTGTATATGATTCGGATGTGGTATATATTATCTTCTATAACTATTTGGTTCATTTATTGTTTATAACAATTATGCCGACCAACGTGACATCGATTTTTTTTATCTAGGAGGTATGTGAACCGGAAATTCCAACCGACCCTATTGTCGAGAGGTTAAATTTAGTTGAAGAAGAAAACAATTACTTGAAGGAAAAAATTAAAAAGGAGGAGAAGATGATATTGGAGTTTCATGTTGCGGATGTCGTGGATGATTACACGATCAAGATGGATGCAATGCGCTTGAAGATTAGAAAGATTAGAAAATATGCCATTCATACCGAGGCTTGGTATCATTATGCCGTTGGATCAATTGTTACCTTGGTTACGATTATGATCGCATTTGTTGTTGTATTGATTTTTTTTACATAGTTTCAATGTATGGTTTAATTAGATGCTCTGGAGAGCTATATGTTGTTCAATGAGAACTATGTATGTACTTTGGTTTTAATATGATGATGAACTTCTATTAATTTGGTCACTTATCTATTCATGATGTTCTGTAATGGTTTTGACACACTTAATTATATATAATGCACGCAGATGAACCGGCAATGGATGTACGGTGACAGACGCACCTCCGGGTACATTAAGGGCGTGCATAATTTTCTCGAAGTGGCTGAGGCAAACAAGCAGAATGGTTTTATGTGTTGTCCATACCCTATATGTGGGAATACGAAGACTTACTCTGACCGGAAAATCCTTCACAGCCACTTGCTTTATAAGGGTTTCATGCCACACTATAATGTTTGAACCAAGCACGGAGAAATAGGGGTTATGATGGAAGACATCGAAGAAGAAGAGGATGATGACAACTATGTGCCCCCTAAATACGGTGATGCTGCAACGGGGGAAGCTGAAGATCAAGTGGAACCAGATGATGTGCCCGATGATGATCTCCGTCGGGTCATTGTTGATGCAAAGAGACGGTGCGAAAGTGAAAAGGAGAAGCTGAAGTTCGATCGCATGTTAGAGGATCAAAAAAAGGGTTGTACCGCAATTGCGAAGATGGCAACACAAAGCTCGGTACCATACTGGAATTGTTGCAGTGGAAGGCAGAGAATGGTGTGCCTGACAAAGGATTTGAGAAGCTACTGAAAATATTGAAGAAGAAGCTTCCAAAGGATAACAAAATACCCGACAATACGTATGTAGCAAAGAAGATCGTATGCCCTCTAGGATTGGAGGTGCAGAAGATACATGCATGCCCTGATGACTGCATCCTCTACCGCGGTGTGTACGAGGATTTGAACGCATGCCTGGTATGCGGTACATTGCGGTATAAGATCAGACGAGATGACCCTGGTGATGTTGACGGTGAGCCCCCCAGGAAGAGGGTTCCTGCCAAGGTGATGTGGTATGCTCCTATAATACCATGGTTGAAACATCTGTTCAGAAACAAAGAGCATGCCAAGTTGATGCGATGGCATAGAGAGGACTGTAAGAAAAACGGGAAGTTTAGAGCACCCGCTGACGGGTCGCAGTGGAGAAAAATTGAGAGAAAGTACTGGGAGGAGTTTGTAGGTGACATAAGGAACGTATGGTTTGGTTTAAGCGCGGATGGCATTAATCCTTTTGGGGAGCAGAGCAGCAATCACAGCACCTGGCCCGTGACTCTATGTATCTATAACCTTCCTCCTTGGATGTGCATGAAGCGGAAGTTCATTATGATGCCAGTTCTCATCCAAGGCCCTAAGCAACCCGGCAACGACATTGATGTGTATCTAAGGCCATTAGTTGAAGAACTTTTACAACTATGGAATGGAAACAGAGTATGTGTGTGGGATGAGCACAGACAGTAGGAATTTCACCTGCATGCATTGCTGTTTGTAACCATCAATGATTGGCATGCTCTTAGTAACCTTTCAGGACTGATACGTCTCCATCGTATCTACTTTTCCAAACACTTTTGACCTTGTTTTGGACTCTAACTTGCATGATTTGAATGGAACTAACCTGGACTGACGCTGTTTTCAGCAGAATTGCCATGGTGTTATTTTTGTGCAGAAATAAAAGTTCTCGGAATGACCTGAAACTTCACGGAGAATATTTTTGGAATTTATAAAAATACCGGTGAAAGAATCAACACTAGGGGGCCCACACCCTGTCCACGAGGGTGGGGGCGCGCCCACCCTCCTGGGGTGCGCCCCCTATCTCGTGGGCCCCCTAAGACTCCACCGGCCTCAACTCCAACTCTATATATTCACATATTGGGAGAAAAAATTAGAGAGAAGGATTCATCGCGTTTTACAATACAGAGCCACCACCAAGCCCTAATCTCTCTTGGGAGGGCTGATCTGGAGTCCATTCGGGGCTCCAGAGAGGGGAATCCGTCGCCATCATCATCGTCAACCTTCCTCCATCACTGATTTCATGATGCTCACCGCCGTGCGTGAGTAATTCCATCGTAGGCTTGTTGGATGGTGATGGGTTGGATGAGATTTATCATGTAATCGAGTTAGTTTTGTTAGGGTTTGATCCCCAATATCCATTATGTTCTGAGATTGATGTTTCTATGACTTTGCTATGCTTAATACTTGTCACTAGGGCCCGAGTGCCATGATTTCAGATCTGAACCTATTATGTTTTCATGAATATATGTGAGTTCTTGATCCTATCTTGCAAGTCAATAGTCACCTACTATGTGTTATGATCCAGTTGTTGGGTAACGTAGTAATTTCAAAAAAAATCCTACGCACACGCAAGATCATGGTGATGCATAGCAACGAGAGGGGAGAGTGTGATCTACATACCCTTGTAGACCGACAACGGAAGTGTTAGCACAACGCGGTTGATGTAGTCGTACGTCTTCACGGCCCGACTGATCAAGCACCGAAACTACGGCACCTCCGAGTTCTAGCACACGTTCAGCTCGATGACGATCCCCGGACTCCTATCCAGCAAAGTGTCGGGGAAGAGTTCCGTCAGCACGACGGCGTGGTGACGATCTTGATGTTCTACCGTCGCAGGGCTTCGCCTAAGCACCGCTACAATATTATTGAGGATTATGGTGGAAGGGGGCACCGCATACGACTAAGAATATGATCACGTGGATCAACTTGTGTGTCTATGGGGTGCC